CTTATCATTAATGGAATAAATAATGATTCTTGTCCAGTTTTAAAGTTTTTCAATTTTGAACAGCATACTAAATGTTAGATTAAAGGATTTCAAAATCGAAGAACTTAAATGCAAGAGAAGTTGAGTCTTGTCGAACAGACTTTGATCTGGCCCTGACACACAAGTTATAAAGGCAGACAATTTCATTTTAGTCGGTTAGCAAGGTTTTTCAATTTTATTTATTTATTTATTTTATTTTTTTTTTTTTAAAATACAATCCTATGTACAGCTGGAGGGAGGCAGAAATGTAGCATTATTTACTTATTTTACTTCAATAGTGCAAAGACTGAGAGAAAGTACGAAATAATTGCACTTTTACTACAAACATAAGAACATAATAACATGTTTTGTAAATAATTAACTGCACGAATCTGAGATGGGAGAGGCAATCGCATTTTCTAAATATTGACAGTCAGTTTTATGTAATCAATATTTTAAACATTGACAGTAAATTTTATGTAATTAATATTCTAATAAATATTGACAGTAAATTTTATGTAATTAATATTCTAATAAATATTGACAGTATATTTTATGTAATCAATATTCTAAATACATGTATTGAAAGTTGTGATTTTTTTCATTTATTTCAATGCCAGTAAAGCCATATTGATTAATGGCCTTGTCCATTTTTAAGTTTATCTCTACAAAATAATGTTCATAACTTTAATCACTTTATAATGAATTTTCTTCAAATTAAACTTTGCACAAATACCTTTGCTTTTAGTGACATACCTTATTTCGAGTCAAAACATTTTACCTATCTTACCTATATTAAATTACTACATTAAACTTTCTAATTACCCCTGGACAAATGATGTTCAATGCCTAACCTACCATGGCCTTTATGCTACCTTTCAACAATAACATTTGATCATCATGGTATGTATTTATTAACCTTGGGATTTCATTTTGGCCACCCGACCTCCAATCTATAATAACAGGCCTAGTTTTTGACCAGAGAAACTTGCAAAACATTCTCTCTTGCAAAACATTCTCTCGCACTAAATGACCAACAGTGTCCAGCAATCTGGACATTATCCAAAAAACTGGAGATTTCTATAATTCATGAAATACCCTACTGACCACTTTAATACCCGATTTCTTTCCTTTAATCCAGTTTTGACCCTGTCCTTAAAACTGTAGTATTAGGATTTTGCATTTTCTTTTCCAGCAATCTTGTTAAGTGGTGATCATGTAAGAATAGAATTTTTCATGAGAATTGCTTAGTTAATCTGCTTAAGTAGCTGTAGTCATGATTTTGACATTAATTTGATTCAACTGTTTATATGATATCAAGAGAGTCATAATTCAGTTCACTGTGTCAATGCTATACAGGATTATTAATGGTGATTCTGTTTATAATTTCACCTTTCTTAATGCAAAAAAAGCCCCTAATAGGTGAACTGTCCATAATCTGTGTCTATAGAACTTATTTTTGATTGGATGCCAATTTCTAATCTCAAAGAATTCATATAAGTGAAGAAAAAACCCACATTCTTATTTAGGAAACTTATTAATGTCAGAAAGATATGTTATCAGTTCCAGAGAGCTGGTTCCCCGTCTAGAAAAGGATTCTTCTCCTGGTTCCCTGTAGAATTATGGTTAATAAGAACTTGCAGTGTCTAATAGTACATAATATTACAGCAGTGATGTACCATTTACAAAGCAAGCACTTTACATGACAATAAGTTTTTAATCCTAAAAATAACCTAGTCTGCATTTAAAACAGTGTTTATCATCATAGCAACAATCCTGAATGCATTGTATCATTTTCAAATACTGATATGCATAATAAAGTCAAAGAATTGTCTAATAAAAGAGAAGAAGTAATATTTGATGGGAAAACCCATATTGTTGGATTATGGTAACTAAAACTGTAGTGAAATTAACCCAATGACCTTGCCATCTTATTTAACCTCCAGAACTTCTTTAATGGGCGTGTCTACCTTCCATTTTAGGATTTTAAAGGGATATCAAAATGAAATTTTAAAGTTCACAAGCCAAATGCATAGAGCCTGGTCAGATTGCATGGATGTGCAGGCAGTGGTGGACTGGCTTTATACTGGTGTCGCTGCCTGAAAACACTTTCTGTTCTAACACAATTATGCCTGGGTTAAGAAATATTTATGTCCTCAGTAGTATAACAGTATGCATGTTGAATTTTTGAATAAAGGGAGACTAGCACATTATAATTTGAGTCTATAGTCTGTCAGGGGTTACCTTCCTTTATACAAGGGAAGTAACTTCAATTGCCCTACAGTTTTGTTTCCCTGGAGGAGTTATATCTCTTACTGACTTGAAATGTTTGAAGATTTTTTTTTAATCATCAATTTTTTTATCATCAATTCTCAAAAAAAATCATAGAACAAAAATACTGAATTCTTTCCACTATAATTGAAAGAAAAAATAATTTATAGAATAGACTGACTACAAGGAAAACACAATATATTTATCTTATCTTGATAATAATCTTATTTGTAAAAATCTAACTCACTCTGAAAAACTGTAACACAAATCAGATAATCAATCAGAAAAGTGCCAACTGGGGATTTATCACACACCCATGCCGATTTTGCGACTCCATAAAAATGGTCTAGCACAGCCATGCATATATTTTGACTTGACATCATTTGCGTTCTACAAACATAGCATAAAAACGCCCTAATTGTTAGTGTTGCACTACAGGCGTGTCAATGAAAAATGTTTCTTTTTCATTTTAAACAGTCTTTATTTTAGGTATGTGATAAATAGAATATTATATTCATGTAGGTTCATTACTAAATTTATTGAACTCGTTCAATAAATTCAGTATAGAATCTACACTCATTTAATATGCCTATATATTCAACAGAGAACTGTTCTATTTAAACTGACAAAACATGCACATGACACACAGTTTCATTTAACGCAGTGGCACATAGACACAGGGACAGATGTTACTGGTTATTATGACTTGTTTACTCAGTATGTTTACAGTTCTCAATATACAGACAAAAATAAATACCAACAACAAAAAATCCCCAACATAATGATAAATATCTACCTTCAGCAACACATAAATATTGCGTAGACGAAAATAGCAATAATTTTCAAATCTTTCCACGGGCAATGATATATTTGAAATAATAAACAACAATAACTTAAAGTATATTTATTGTACAGTTCAAGGTGAGAACCACTGTGAAATACGTAAAGTGTTTTCTTAATTATGAACGTTTCACCTATTTGACCCCACATTCTTCTTATGCATGCTACGATTTAGTGTCTAAAGAAAAAATATTAATATATACTTAAAGATATACAATGCTCAAATTTGATTTTTAAAAATATTAATAATTGATACACAGTCTCTTTGTATGTATAAAATAAACATGTTTCGACTTCATTTAAAGTAGATATGTTATGTTTTGAACTCGACACACTATAGGTGGTCACAGTATGAATATATAGTGTCATTAAAAAACTGGCAGTTTTTTTAAGAAAAGACCAACTTCACTTGACTTGTAATAGGGAATGCAGCTTCCCATACATAGTCTATTCATTATTTTATTCAAATTAAACATATTCAGTAAGAATTTCATGGATTTCAATACATTTCTAAGATAAAAATATTTTACCTAAAGATGAGCATAGTATATCTTTAATTTACTATATAGTACAATATATTTTGACAGCAAATGCGTTTCTTACAATTTTATTACAAAATAATGAAAAGAAAAATCTATTAAAACGATTTTTAATTTCAAATAACTATCACAAGTGCAAATAGTGAAATGGTTTCTTTTTTAGTATATCAGTTCATCAGAATTGATTAAATTATAAAAACCTCTGGAGAAACAACGCATACTTGTCTTGTGTGACTGGTTTATCAACCGTTACCAAACTAATTTTATATAATGGACTTAACCTGCTTTGAACTTAGAACTATCCATTGTTATTTCAAGGGGTTTTAACATTATTTAGAGAGTTTTTTTGTTGTTGTTTTTAATTGCCAGGTGGCAATAGCAAGTAACAGCATTCCTAATCAGATGTTGTTTTCCTTGTATTTTGGGTATATAATAAATTTTCACAGAATTGGGAATTTAAACAATGTGAAGCTTAAAATTGGGAATTTAATAATAATGGGGTGGTCATATAGAAGTGTTCAAAGTGTAAAATATATTGTTATTTAGATGGAAAGAACTCCCCCACATGTTACGACAGTAAAAACCTTTGGCAAGAAATTGTTTCCATGGAGGGAAATGTGTCAATCAATAGAGGGCATAAAATATAATTTTCCATTAAGGATATAATAATATAATGACCATAAGATCAGCCATCATTTGAATGTGAAAGTGATAACAAGACAGACCATTTGGCCTACTTATCAATTCATTTAGCAATTACATTTATTTTGATTCTAATTTTCTTTTTTTTACATGTATAGCTCAATGAACTAGAGCTGTCACAGGAGTGAAGAAAGTTCTTCAATGAGTAAAGAATTTAAAGTATAGACAAACAATTGTCTGACATTTGACCTTCATGATGACCTTCACCAAGAGCCACCATAGGCATCTGACATTTGACCTTTATGATGACCTTCACCTTGAGCCAACACATGCATCTAACATTTGACCTTCATAATGACCTTCACTTTGAGCCAATACGACCATCTGATATGTGACCTTCATGATCAGCAAACACAGGCAGAAAACATGATACTGAACATCATATTATTAGGGACTGGTGAACATTTGAGCAAAATTTAAAGCCAATCCTTTAATGGGTTCAGAATATATAGAGTTGACATAAAATTGATTGAAATTAAACCTTCAAAGGTGATATTGAAATGAGGCAGCAGTGGTGGCATGGCTTCTGCATATTGCCGTGTTGGAGGTGAACATTTTAGGCAAGATTGAATCTTAACAAATCTTACACATATAAGATATTCCAATATTTAATGACAATAAAAGTCTCACCTTCTCTGGACATGCCAACGGCAAAACACTTTTTTAATCTACAATACTGGCAGGAATTCCGAGTGAAAGGCGTTATTTCACACTTTTCATCATTTGAGCATTTGTGAGTCATTCCCTGTGTTATACATCTTCTAAAGAAACCCTGAAAATTCACAAAATAAGACATTCATGAAATCAAATAATAATTGCCTGAATTTAAAGAACAGAATTTCACAAATCTAACATTTATAACAAGAGACCATGGAAACACACAGAACAAGACATAAGTAACACAAATCAATAATTGCTTTAATAAATGCAGTGAAATTTACAAAATAAAGAAATTCATGAAAACGACAGCTGCCTAAAAAGACCTTGAAAAGAGATTCATAAAATAGCTTGAATCCAACACAGAGAATTTCCCAAAATATGACATTCATTAAATTATGATGACTTTCCAGCTTTGCTATCGGATCTGATAAAGATGTCAGGTATGTCCCTCCATGCTTTATTTCAGGCACAAAAGGCAGCCTAAATAGAACCACTGACCTTCCCTAAGCTAGCTGGATAGCAGCTATGAACTAAATAAGACATTCATGAATCAGACATTGTCTATACAAACACTGAAAAACTTTTATATAATTGTTAATCATAAATCTTTATTAAACTAAATAAATCCTGACAGATGCCTAGTCAAGACATTCATTTAACTGACTATTGCCTCTTTTTTATCAGGACACTAACATCATTCAAGTATGTTATATAAATTGTCAGACTTCCAAGGATATATATCTATCTATCCTACAGCTAGAACTCAGAACTACCCTAGTTCCAACAGACATCTCTTGTAAGAATTATTAACATTGAATTCGGAACTATTCATTCCATGTTTTAGGGATTTCAATATCAAATACCAAAATTGAGCTATCAACAGTATAGAGCCTGGTAACACTGTTCGGATGGGCCGACCGGCATGGTTCTATATTCAGATGTCAAGGCTGATCACTTTCATTTCCAGCAGGTAATGGTGTAGTAAAGGGTTTTATGTTTTTTTAAAGGACCATTCCTGCTACAGAAAGACACTTAAAATGTTTTTTTTGTTTTTTTAATTTTACAATTTCATACTTACAAAATGCAAATGGAAACTTAAAAACACCAGTATATTTTATTTATATTTAGTGTTTACTTGTGCAAAGATGTAAAGTACACTAAACCTAAATTTTAGTTATCCCTGAAACATGTTACAAATGACCAAGTTTTTCATATGACCTATTATAACTCAAAGTATTCATGTCTCAAGACTGTAATGTAAGGGAAAGTTTTAACTAACAGCCAATTACTAACCTTACAACCCTCGCATGAGTCCACGCCATAGTGGTACCCTGATGATTCATCATTACAAACTTTACATGTCGGCGTTCGCCCGTTTCCCGCTTTCACCGGCATACTTTTGGTCGTTACTGAATTGTTACATCTGAAACAGACAAACAAGATCAATCAAAATCAGGAGTTTAAATCCCTTTTTTCTTATTTCAATTATACTTTTTTTTGTTCAATTACAAATTACATCAACAACTTATACATTTTACTTCAACCATTTGCCTGCTAGTGGCAATTAGGAGGTTCTTACAAAATTGCCACCAGTGCAGTCACCAAGATCACTCCGCATATTGTGCAGCTTGGTCATATGCCTGTATTGTATTGTGGGATAATCCATCTGAATATTATTATATTTTTAAATTTTTCCCTAAAAATGTAACATGATTTTATCGAGACTGAACAATAGACAAGTCCATTTTTGGTATTTAGCATTAGTAATTAAGGGATATAACAAGATGGAACAGCACAGGTCACTAGCAACTTTGGTTTGATCCTGATATCGGAAGTAAAAGTATTGATTAATTTCATGTAATTGGATAAAATTTTACAGTTTCCATTAGGGGGCGCTTAAATGGATTTCAACAGACACTATCAATTACTGTTCTTAAAAGAGTGTTCTTTCATGAAATTTGACAGAAACCGTCAATTGATACGTATTGTGCCTGAGAAGAAAGCACTTTCATAAATTTTAACAAAAATTGAAAATTACTGCGTCTATGTACAATTCAATGACATTAATTTCCAGTTATTGTCATTTTTTATTCATTCTTTTTTCTATCTGCATGTAGCAAGCACAACCAAGAAATTCAACAGAAAATGTGATAAATCAGTACTCAAATAGAATGATATTCAACACAAATTATCTGAATAATTTGCCCACATCTCAAACAAATTTTATGATTTATTATACAGAAATACTAAAATGGAATGCAATCAAAATGAAATTGGACAGAAATTGCCAATTTGGAACAAAAATTGGGGATTTAAAATGTAACAGTGCATTTTCAGTTCTTCTGCATAATGAAAATAAACGTAATGATGTAATATTTTACAACAACCTCAAACACTTAACCTGTTGAAAGTTTTAAATAAACTTGTTTGCCTTCCATTTTTAGAGCATTCTATTATCAGGTTTGGGGACATGAAAATAAAAATTCAAAGTGTTCAAGTCCAGCCAACAGTACACAGCCTGTAGGTCGGACTGCACAGATGTGCAGGCTGGTCTACCTTATTTTGCTTTAACCACTTAATTATCTATCCTGAGAAAGTCAAAGGTAAGAAATCATGACAGGATTATGACAAACATAATAAATCAGCAATCTGACAAAGCTATAGATAAACAGCATGAAGAAACCTAGAAAACTGTTTCATATCAAGTTTATAATCCTGTCAAAATATTCCTACATACAACATTGACACAGGAATGTGAATCCAACAGCAGTAATTTCTGACTTGTATTCTTTATATTTACATACATAAACAATATAATGATACAGAAAAGTCGGTCAATTACCTAACTGTACTTACAGCCATGACTGACAATTTTCTCACATGATTATTGTAAACTGGTTCACTACAGATTATCCTGCTCAGTTTATGTATCATACATAATTATTATACTTCCTGCCCCGATCATACTATTAGCCAGCCTGCTAAGTTAATACTATTAGACACCCTTCATAATTAATACTATTAGACAACCTGCCTAGTTAAAACTATTAGACAACCAACCAAGTAAATACTAGTGTACATTCTGTCCACATAATACTATAAGACAAGTTCTGCCTAGTTAACACTATTAGGCAGCCTGCCTAGTTAATACTATTAGACAGCCTGCCATGTTTATACTATATATTAGACAGCCTGCCAAGTTTATACTTTAAGACAGTCTGCCAAGTTAATACTATTAGACAGTCTGCCAAGTTTATACTTTAAGACAGTCTGTTAAGTTTATACTTTAAGACAGTCTGCCAAGTTTATACTATAAGACAGTCTGCCAAGTTTATACTTTAAGACAGTCTGCCAAGTTAATTCTATTAGACAGCCTGCCAAGTTTATACTTTAAGACAGCCTGCCAAGTTAATACTATTAGACAGCCTGCCAAGTTAATACTATTAGACAGCCTGCCAAGTTAATACTATTAGACAGTCTGCCAAGTTAATACTATTAGACAGTCTGCCAAGTTAATACTATTAGACAGCCTGCCAAGTTTATACTTTAAAGACAGCCTGCCAAGTTTATACTTTAAGACAGTCTGCCAAGTTAATACTATTAGACAGCCTGCCAAGTTAATACTATTAGACAGCCTGCCAAGTTAATACTATTAGACAGTCTGCCAAGTTAATACTATTAGACAGCCTGCCAAGTTTATACTTTAAGACAGCCTGCCAAGTTTATACTATAAGACAGTCTGCCAAGTTTATACTTTAAGACAGCCTGCCAAGTTAATACTATTAGACAGTCTGCCAAGTTTATACTTTAAGACAGCCTGCCAAGTTAATACTATTAGACAGTCTGCCAAGTTTATACTTTAAGACAGTCTGCCAAGTTAATACTATTAGACAGCCTGCCAAGTTAATACTATTAGACAGCCTGCCTAGTTAATACCAGTGTACATTCTGTCCAGACAAGTTCTGCCTGGTTAATACTATTAGACAGCCTGCCAAGTTAATACTATTAGACAGCCTGCCTAGTTAATACTATTAGACAGCCTGCCAAGTTAATACTATTAGACAGCCTGCCAAGTTAATACTATTAGACAGCCTGCCTAGTTAATACTATTAGACAGCCTGCCTAGTTAATACTATTAGATAGTCTGCCTAGTTAATACTATTAGATAGTCTGCCTAGTAAATAATATTAGACAGTCTGCCTAGTTATACTATTAGATAGTCTGCCTAGTTAATAATATTAGATAGTCTGCCTAGTTAATACTACATTTATATGTTCAAAAAGACCTTGATAAAAAGTAGGACAAAACTTTCCAGACAAATTTCCACACTACAGAAAGTTGGCAAACATCAACATATTTTTAGAGCATTCTTTACAAAACAATACAAGAAAAGCATTGATGCAAAGCATCAAAGGGCGACGCCAAAAGAATTTGATCCAGATTTGCACCTAAATACTTAACAAAAGATGTGTACTTTATAGCAGTACCATTACATGTGACCTGGAGGCTAGGGCCAGGTTAAGTTGAAACTTAAACCAAAAAAGAATAGACTCTGTCTTGCCAAGATGCAAAGGCAATTTATAGTCAATTAAGCAATCTTATAAGACTCATGCTATAAGAAAGAATTTCTTCAGATTTAATTTATGAGACACAAGGATTCCTGAGTCATCAGCATATAATCACAGGCACGAGTATCGGACCTGGGAAGAAAAAATATCACCAGATGACCAGATTGATAAAAAAAACTGTGTTTATAAAAACCAAAACAAAAAATGTAAATAATGATCCCCTTTAAAAATATACTTTCAACTTGAAGTATATTTTTAAAGGGGGTCATTATTTACATTTTATTTTGGTTGTTGACACTTTTAAGATGAACACAGGTTTTTTTATCAATCTGGCCATATTTTTTCATCCAAGGTCTGATACTCGTGCCTGTGCATTATAATAAAAGCTTATTGCTTAGGGTTGAAGACATGTAATTGACATATATTAGACATAAAAGAGGACCTAAAATGAACAATCAGGGGGACAGCATAGGTACTCAGAGCAGTAGTAGAATAAGTACCAGCCACATCAACCAGCTACTATCAGAGATAAGACTTAAACATGTAAGAATGTCATTATATATGGCAGATGCTTGAAGTTTCATGAAGAAGAAAGAAAAACAACTTCTTCATGTGCAGGATAGTGGTGTTCAACTGTATCAAATGCCCTTTGTAGATCTAAAAGTATCATGCAATACTGCCTTTGTCCATTTCAAATAATGCAATCTGTTAAATGAATCAAACATGTGTCAATTGAAAAACCACTTCTAAACCTGACTGAAACTGCCTGACCATGACTCAAACCCATGATTTCAGAACAGCCAACTGAGCTATCCGTCCTGCTACACAATTTTCTCTTTAATAATGAAACAGTTCTAAACCACAACATATTTCCCCACTATATCGATTTGTGTTCGTGAATTTCTTATGTTACAGAGCATAGGAAATTGAACTCATGCTTATATGCAGTCATAGGATGAGAAAAACTTTGAGCTTGACCAGAACTCATTAACCTGTGACCAACATAAGAAGAAATTTTATGAAGGCTGATTTGTATTTTGCATCAAGGGCACCGGGCAAAAACATGAAAATGCAACAAACAAACCACTTTGTGGTAGATTGTATTTTCATGTTTTTCATCTGGCGCCCAGTTACTTTTTGTACTATGTTGGTTTTCATGTGGCACAAATCACCCACTATAAATTTAGTGCACAAATTTTTCAAGGGCAAGTAACAATCTACTCTATGTACAGTCTGTTATCGCGTTGACTCAGGAGACCTGGAGGTTGAGACCGGTGTCTCTTCATTACAAATAGATAAGACAGAAGCTGTCCTTTTTCAAACTATGCACATGTTAGAAAAAAATAGAATAACTATTCAGAATATGATTTTTTGAGACTTTATTAATTATATTGCTTGATCCAAGTTTAAGGACATTTTCAATCAATACATGTTTTATCATTTATAACTTTAAATGAAAGTCTCATCCCTTTAATAATAATGACATAACTGTATCTCTTTAAATGCAGAAAAATTATAAGTCTCAACATATCAATATACTACTGTCTAAGATATACATGTACATGCACATAACATTAATAATTCCCAGTTTATATCAAATAAATATGAAATCCTAACATTAACATTAACATGCTTTTGATGACCTTGCAACTGGTGAATTATATACAACAAAAATAGTATTATAAGTAATAACTAAGATAGACAGAAAAGAACAAATAATTTAGTAAACATAAGTTACTTCCCCTTAAAATAAAGAAGACCTGAAACCCAAAAGAACACGATAAACAGCAAAATTATGAAATGTTGCAGGTTCAATTTTATCAAGCCATGCAAATTAATGGTAAAGTATTCATAA